ATCGGCTATAGGCTGTCTGAACTACTGAACTGATAAATGCAATTATCCGTAATTGTCCATTAGTTTCTTTCTGCTTTCACACAAGGCGGGAGAGAGATGATAATAGAATCCATTCTAGTTCTGTACAGTGGATTTGTATAGTCACGGGTAGAGGGCACTGTCCTAAAGAGTTTAAGATATATAATAATGATCTTTTGTCATTTAGAGCCAGTGGGAAATAGCAAATAAACTCGTATTGACAGTTGCAAATGAGTACACAGTAGAAGATACCGAAGCTAATATTAAACCGTAATCAAAACACTTCACAAAGAGGAATTAATTAAAGTTTTGAATGGCATAATATTTCCAAACAAATAGTTCTTAAAAAAACAATAAAACATAAACATGATTCCCGCTAGCCATAACAGCCTTGGGCCTCTTATCTGCACTTTCCATGTTTTCTGGTGTTTTATATTAACCGTGACTGAAGAGTGGCTGAGACATTATATATATATATATATATATATATATATATATATATATATATATATATATATATATATATATACTTAAACGTTTTGACCCTCAGCAAGTATTTTTGAAATGGACCGACCTGTTGCAGAAAAATTCGTTAAACAAACATAAACCCTCATACTCTATGTAAAGCAGGATACAGCGTTACTTCCTGCACGAACGGTGTATGTGTTAGGATTTGTGAGGAATAGTCAACGTCACGCTTTCAGGTCAGGATTTCAGGTCATTTCCCGCATGAAAGATGTCTGCGGAAATGTGGCATAGGATACTACCTACACATTTCTTAACTTTGCTGTCATTTTTATCTTTAATGCGTTTCTTTCAATTGAGTGCTAATCTCTCTCTCTCTTCGTAGTCATGTTTCAGACACGTTTGTCTCCACGCATTGCTGGCCGGGAAACACCGAGATAGAATCAAGAAAAGAAAGAAAGAAAGAAGAAAAATAGATAAACAAATAGAGGACGAAAGAGAGAAAGAAAGAAAGGACAAGAAAATAAGAAGAAAAGAAAAGAAAAGAAAGAGAGAAGAAAAATAGATAAATAGAGAAAGAAAGAAAGGATAAGAAAATAAAAAGAAAAGAAAAGAAAGAAAGAAAGGAAAAGACCTAGCAAGCCACGAATTATATGAAACGACAAATAAATAAAACTTGAAAGGAGAACAAACTGAACGCAAAGTTAATGAACTTAACAATACTAAAAAGATGCCAGATGAATACCCAAACAGTAGTGTTTTATTAGATGATACATACTTTCTTTTTATTACTTTCAGCTATGATAGATTCTCTTGAATCATCAGCTGGATGTTGCACATTTTAAATGCAAATTATTAAATCATCGGCTGTGTCAACAATTAAGCTCATTAGCGGATTATTAAGTAAAGCCGTTAAGAAGTATTTAAAGCTGAACTGAAAACATTTCACAGGAGACCTGATGGCTCACTTTTCTCAGTGTAGAAAAACTGCCAATGAAGATATTTTTTTTTTTACATTTCCTTATATATTGACATTTGAGTCTAATATAGTTTCCACTGTATCCTGAACCTTTGTATGAGACTTCTCACCTTTCCTCTCGAAAAAGACATTTTATCCAACCTTACGTACCCGATTCTCAGCCTCACCACCGCTACCTATATTTGTATTTTGGGACGACGACCCACTCCGCCATA